CCATTAGTGAAATAATAATATTTCACTAATGCACTTTTTCATATTTTCAGAGTAGCTTTAACAAGAAACCGGAAACTCAAGAATATTAATTTTGCAACCTAAATATGAATTGGGTATAATCTCAGAAATATAAATATGAATTGGGTATAATCTCAGAAACGGAACATTTCAGAAACCAGTCCATCCCTGCTAAATTTATAATGGATATGAATACAGCAGTGTGGCTGATAATATGTCAGTTGACTGATAATATGTCAATGGTGGTTATGGCTAAACATTGTGCATGTGCGTGTGTGTGCATTTTTGTACCATGGTGAAGTCATGCAGGATGCCAGCTGAATCGCCGTCTCTGAACTCAGGGACAGGTACTTTGATGAGCTCCACCTCATCGTCTTCGAAAAAGCTCACATTCTCTTCAAGCAGCATCAGCGGTGCCTCAAACTCCTTCCAGGTGGATATCTGATGGATGGATAGTCCCAACTTTCCAGTTTGGACAGAAGGTTTGGCTATCCACCAGAGACATCAGGATGTGCCTGCCATGCAAGAAGCTTAGTTGCAGATACATTGGCCTCTTCACCATCACCCGACAGATCAACCTGGTCACTTATCAACTGCACCAATTTTAGTATCTGGTAGACTGGGAAGGTTATGACCCAGAGGAACGCTCATGGGTCCCCAGAGACGATATCCTCGATCCAGCCCTGCTCACAGCCTTCCACGACTCTCACCCTAATCGTCCTTGGCCCAGAGGAAGAGGTCGACCACCACAGTGTCCGGGTCCTCGGCCACTGGGAGCAGGCCGTGGAGGTGGGTGGGGTACTGTCACGTAATTGCCAGGCTCCAACATCAGCCAATCACAGTGCTCACCCTTACCAGAATTCTGATCACACATACTTGTTACTCGTGCAGCTGAACTCTATCAGTTACCTCTAGTAATTGTCTCCAGTGCGTCTTCCCTTCCTAAGTGTCTCCAGTGTTCTCTGTCTACAAACCTGTGGAAAGGGATTACCTTTATACTCACCATTTCCAAAGAGGTGTGTGCATCCTTCCTCTCATCCGCTCTGCCATCCATGACCCCCTGAACCTGTAACAAAGGAAAGTCAAGTTATCAACTTTACTCTCTCTCCTGATTATATATCTGAACTGCATACTCCAGCTTGATTGCCAGTTTTTCAGTGCTGTATTAAACACTCTAGGGCTGTCAAAAAAAATTTGAATTTCGAGTATTCGTCGAATTTAAAATAAAAATCCACATTCGAATGCAAAAAACGCTGCATTCGAATTTTAGGTGTGCGTTAAGAAGGCTGCCTTATCAGTGGAGCACGATATGCGATGACGATGTAAGTGTCATTACATTTGAATGTTTTTGTTAGCCTATCCAGTTGAAGCCACTAGATGCGGCGCTGCTGCGTTGTTGATTACAAATATTGCGGGAAAAGAGAACATCAATGCGGAGAAGATCTTGTTTACGTCAAAACTGAAACCAAACTGTTCACACAGAACGCATATTTCGTGCATCTATCACTGCTGCACTTGAGAACCGCATTTTTGGAGAGCCATGTAAAATTAATGCAAGTTCTTTGAACTTTTGTCAACTTTGAAAAAACATATCTCGATACTTAATGGTGGATTTTTTTCCCCATCCCACTGCAACTCATGTTTTTAAACAAAAAATATACTCTGTGTGATGGGCTTTCGGCCTTTTGTATTAAACTATGAATGCATACATGATGCTGTTTTGTTTATAGTTGTTTAAGCAACTTAATTGTAATTGGTTTATAAACATTATTTTAAACATTATGCACTTTTTTTCACAGATAGTCATGTTATATGCTCGATGCGCTCTCGTGTGGCCTCAGGAGAAAAGCCAAAAGCTTTTCTTTACCCTAACTGAAATTATGCATTTTAAATTTGAATATAATTCGAATTTTGATAATAATTAAGCACAAAATTTGAATTTAGTTTTTCAGCCATTTTGGCAGCCCTAAAACACTCCGTTAATTCCATCTATCTGAGTTTACATTATGTAACATTTGCTGTCTGTGCTCGATTTTATGCTTAGTTTCTTTTGCATCTCAGAGTGAATCTGTAACCCATTTCTGGGCCACAACCCCCAGCTGAAAATCACTGCTTCAAAAAATACTGCTTCAAGGTTTAGACTGATTATGAAGTAAATGTTATAGAAACGAATTAAGTGAAGATAAACATCAATGCAAGATGACACAAGTTAGATGTTACGATCACTATGGTTACATCAATTATCTCACCTCAAGCATATAGTATCTATACAGGAAGGCTCCTCCCACCACTACACCAGAGAGAACGAGAGCCAATCCCAGACAGAAGCACCAGCACCACACCTTCGACTGCGGACGCACCAACACCGCTGCCTCAGAATCCTACAGAGAAATGACAGTTACAACATTACATTTAAACAATTACTTAACAATATATATATATATATATATACATACACAACTGTTCGAAAGTAATTAATACATTTATTCAGCAATTATTCATTAAACTGATCCAAAGTGACAGTAAACACATTTATAACGGCATGAAAGATTTCTATTTCAAATAAATTCTATTCATCAAAAAATCCTGAAAAAAATAACATCACGGTTTCCACAAAAATATTAAGCAGCACAGATGTTTTCAACATTGATAATAATAAGTGTTTCTTGAACATCAAAAATGATCATTTCTGAAGGTTCACATGACGCTGAAGACTGGAAGAAAGGCTGCTGAAAAAATCAGCTTTGTCATCAAAGACGTATATTACATTTTAAATGGATCAAAATAGAAGTTATTTAAATTGTAATAATATTTCACAAATTACTGTTATACTGTATTTTTAATCAAATAAATGCAGCCATTTAAATGTGAGCATATTAAACAAGGCCTAACAGAAAAGAACAGTTCAACACGAGAATTAAAGGGGTCTATCCAAGTTACAGAGAGTATTTTCAAAGTAGTAAAGGACAAAATATGAATATTATTGGATAGAGATTCATTGTCCTTGTTCAAATGAATGCCTTATTTTAAGCACTATGTACCATATACAGTATACAGTTACAAAAGGGCCTGATTCTCCACCCCAAACTTTCAGTCGTGTCCCTGTAGACATTCACATACAGCTCACAGACAGCAGATATCATCTGCCATGAGACACACCACAAATGAACCCAGAAAAAGTCTATTCAGAGCCTATTTTAGACAGAAATTATGACAAATGGCAGTTTTGAGACAAACAGAACAAAAACAAAAAAAAAGAAGTGAGATTCACACTCCATCTCTTCAGGTTTCAAGTCGAGAGACATTAAAACAGTTTGGTGTCAGCAACTTCTGCAAAAAGTCATAAAGAGGAAAATTCTTCCAATTGTAATCTACATAAATGCTTCACTCAAATAATAATTGCACACAAGCACAAGCATGAATTGAAAGAGAAAGTAAAGCAAGCAGTTTCTATTTGACTAGCAGAAGGGGAATTTAATTTAGTATCAGAATGATAAAAAGAGAGACACAGATAACATGTATAATGGAGGAGGGAGAGAGATACAGTGCCACTGAAAGCACTCAGACCTCCTTGTTTCATTGTGCTCTACTTATTTAATCCAAATAGTCAAAATAGTTTATCCTAGTTTAATATCCTGCAGTGGATTTTTTTTTTCTTTTTGCACATTATCTCACTGATGTATCAATTTGCAAAAGCTAAAGAAAACAAGTGAGTTTTCTAAAGAGATTTAAAAACCGATAGCGATGAAGCAGCTCTGAGGTGCGCTGACAGGCTGTTCCATAATCTAGGGCCCATCACAGAAAAAGCTCTATCATCCAACAATACCTGGAAATGATGCGTTTATTAACATTTTATAACACGTACAAAAACGTACCATGGTAACCAATGTTTCTGTCAAAATACCATAGTAGCCTATCTAATTACATTTATTTTGACCTCACTTAACTATCTGAACTCGGTATCAGAAACCACCCTCATCAAAGAATAAAAACATCCCATAGGGGCTTCTGTAAATTAGTTAACATTGTTATTAGATTACCAAAACGTATCAAATAAAAACATCAAAATAAATTAAAACAAAATACCAATATTATTTAAAGTAAAAATGAAAATGAAATAAACATACTGAATAAAAAAATAACTTATTTTTTCTTTGTGGACTAAGGCATTATTCATTTAATGAGGTGAAAAGAACTGCGGTAACTTTTTACCAGGGTATTAGTGATTACAAGGGTGCTTACGCTACCCGTCTTTGACAAACTTTGGGCCGTCAGCCATTTTATATCACTTTCACTGAACCTGATCAAAGTTTAATGCGCAAACCTGAACAAAGAAACACATTTAACGTACTTCTACATTTGGGACACTCTCTGTACTTCTCTCAAGATAATATAACATCAATGTGCACATATACCTGGACTAAAAGGCTTAATTACGAGATCATATTGATAATAATATCGAACGCAACATAAGTAGCCTATCTAATTACATTTATTTTGACCTCACTTAACTATCTGAACTCGGTATCAGAAACCACCCTCATCAAATAATAAAAACATCCCATAGGGGCTTCTGTAAATTAGTTAACATTGTTATTAGATTACCAAAACGTATCAATTAAAAACATCAAAATAAATTAAAATAAAATACCAATATTATTTAAAGTAAAAATGAAAATGAAATAAACATACTGAATAAAAAAATAACTTATTTTTTCTTTGTGGACTAAGGCATTATTCATTTAATGAGGTGAAAAGAACTGCGGTAACTTTTTACCAGGGTATTAGTGATTACAAGGGTGCTTACGCTACCCGTCTTTGACAAACTTTGGGCCGTCAGCCATTTTATATCACTTTCACTGAACCTGATCAAAGTTTAATGCGCAAACCTGAACAAAGAAACACATTTAACGTACTTCTACATTTGGGACACTCTCTGTACTTCTCTCAAGATAATATAACATCAATGTGCACATATACCTGGACTAAAAGGCTTAATTACGAGATCATATTGATAATAATATCGAACGCAACATTCCTAAAATGCGGTTAAGCAATTCAACAGAAGTAAATATACACTAGATTTGTTAGTGACTTCAGTACCTGTACATCAAGAATGAGACTTTCCTTCTTTGGGTCCTTGAAGGCGAGAGCCTTGTTAAAAGAAACTTTAACCATATTGAAAAGTTTCTGTAAGTGGCTGTTTCCGCGAGATCGAGAAAGAATAGAGACAGAGCTAAGTGAAAGCGTTTAGTTTCCGCGATGTCTGTCTGTGTGTGACGCACATGACAGATCAGAGCATCAACAGCTCTCTCTGCCTCTAGTGACAACTACTAGAACATCAACTACAACTATGCCAATCACTTTTAACAAATGTATTTCTCAATGCATTGTTATAATTACTTTCAAATTACCAGTAGGCCTACTTTTAATTACAATTAAATGTAGAATATATAAGGAAACAAACAATTATAATAACATCTGGACTTATTCTTGAGAACCATAAAGCCATGGTTTTCGTCTAGGGGTCCGAGGCCTCCGCAGACTTCCGGGTGGCCCTCAAGGTGACTTAATATGATTTAAAATAAGACAAAACAAGCTTTGAAATAAGCCAAAACAATAAGCTTTGAATTTTGTCAGATAGTGTGGGGCCTTGTAGACAAAAGGCTGAGAGCCACAGGATATAACTGCAAAAAAAAAAAAATGCTATTCCAGTTGTTGTTGTTGTTAACAGTATACACATTTTATGTGTAACTGTTTAGATGATTTAATAACAGGTTGGAATGGCTAAGGTTCAATTAAATTATTAACAGTAAGATTAAAAATGTTGCTTAAAGATGACAACAAGTGGACAATAACAAGCTTGTTGACAACACACCTGGTGCCATTTCTACAGATGGTGGCACCAGCTGTGTGTGGGTATTAAAAATAAAGATAATTTATTAATACAATTATTGTTTGGCATTGGTAAGTGCAGATACTAATAAAATTACACATTTATTTCTTGGTAATGTACATTTGACAATAAAGCACCGAGTTTGAGTTGGGAAGCATACAAAATTTATTAACAACAGTATATTTTATAACCTGCGAAATCAAATTTTTATATGAAAATGTTTTTATATTCTACTCTTATTAAATGTACCATTATTCTATTATAGTATTATACTGAACTGACCGACAAGTTCAGTGATTATTAGGAGCGCTCTTTACTAGCTTGTTCTGTGATTCTGTCGCAAATTAAAGTGTTTTTCAAGGCACTTTTATTGGCCTACTTCATACGCAAAAAAGAGCAAAACTTTGACAAAATGTGATTTCTTGATTTGACATTTTCTAATAGTGATTTTATAACAAGCAAAAATGTGGAAATGAATGACTAATAAACAAGCAAGTGCTCCTCTGCTGCCATCTACTGGTTATAATGGTAATTTATTTATTTATTAAATAAGTGTTTGTTTACCACAAAGTATATTTTGGTCATCCCATTAAAATAACATTTAAATTGGATAATTTTTTGAGCTTTAAAGTGCTGGAAACAGTTGTGTGAAATACTTGAAAGTTATTGAAATATCTCTCTCAAAATGTTGTACAAACCCTGAAATTAATAATGTAATAACATTCGACTATTTCTGCCACAACACAATGGTTATATTTGGCGTTACTACTTCTGGTTTTCTATGTCAGCGCTGTTTGGTCTGTTTCTAACAGAATTCTGTGCAGAATTTGAATGCATCTCACTAGATCTCGAACCTTATTCATTCTGCGGCGAATTCAAACATTTGCATCTTCTTGGACTCATCTCTATCCAAAAGACGCAATTTAAAAGTACAGAGTAAAATATGCTAATTTCAGTGACTCGTAAAACACACACAAATGGTAATCTATATAAATATTCTTAATCGATCAATCAAAAACTTTCACTTCAACGCATAGTGAGAGCAGCTGAGAAGATCGTTGGTGCCTCTCTCCCCTCCCTCCAGGACATTTACAACACCCGTCTCACCCGAAAAGCCCTCTGCATTGCAGGTGATCCCACCCACCCGACACACAGCTTCTTCAGTCTGCTGCCATCAGGGAGGAGACTGTGGAGTCTCCAGGCCAGGACCAGCAGACTGAAGGACAGCTTCATCCATCAGGCTGTCAGGACCTTGCCCCCCCTCCCCTCTTTTGCCCCACGCACCACTGAACTCTGACCCTCTGATGAACTCTCTCACTCCCCCCTCCCAAATACACACACACACACTGTCACTTTAATCAGTCTGAATAAACTCTTTTGCACTACAAATCATTTTTTTGCACTACAATTATTATATCTGCACTGTTGTTTACTTTACTGGTTTGCACTCTATCTGCCATATGCCTTGTGCTTTATATATATATATTTTTTTTACATTTTACCTTTTTTTTTTTACATTTTACCTTATTTGTATATTTGTATAGTTGTATTTTGTATTTAATCTGTATCTATCTGTATTTATGTTCTACTGTTAGTGTTATCTGTATGCACCCAAGGGTCTGAGAGTAACGCAATTTCAATTCTCTGTGTGTATGTGCTGTACATGTGGAAGAATTGACAATAAAGCAGACTTGACTTGACTTGACTTGACTTGACTTGAAAAACGAATATTGGCTGATCCTCACCAGCGCTGAGAAAATGAACAAGTAATAACAACGGCATCTATAAGTGACAGATATTGCTGTCATACTTGTAGTGTTCTCAGTCGTTTGCTCTGTTACCCCGCAGTTTTACAAGAACTGTTTATAAACACCACAGATAATATTTTATTGAGAGCGATTGTACATTGTGGTCCTTCTGCCAACAGGCGTCCCTGTCTGACTCATGCGTATGTGTTTTATTTCTCACGCATGCGCATTGCGCAAGAGAGGACAAACTGTCATGGCGGCGGCGGAGAAGCCCACGAAAGAGAAGCTTTTAGCCACTCTGGATGATATTGAAGTTTTATCCAGGTTTGTCTTCAAATATTCTGCATGTTTAGATGTAAATAACTTTATAAATACATTTCTGTGTGCTTTTTTTTTTTAACTGTTACAAAACAGAGTTATATTAAACTACTAGTTAATTCTTGAAATGTTCAGTGATTTCTGCTAACAGTTGCTGGGTTAGATAATAGTCGAATAAATAAGTCACAGTCTCCTTTGTCCACTCGAGTCTACTGTTTTCACAGCTATTAACACATACTGACACGCTACTAACATTCACACACAGCTCCTCTTTGGTTCTCTTATATTCTTGTTTGTGTTGCAGAGAGCTGATAGAGATGCTGGCGCTGTCCAGGACACAGAAACTGCCCCAGCCTGGAGAGGACACAGAGGTGAGAGTGAGAGAGAGAGACACTCTACTAGACACACAAGTACAGACAATACTCAATTAGTGATTGAGACAACGTTGAAATCTGAAGAAGAAGATATATTTGTATCTGATATTTGCAGGTTTTAAAATTCTGATTTAGCTTGGGAAAAAGAAAAAAAGCCTGAGAAATCCTAAAAAAACCCATTTTGCTTTGCTGTTTAATTAGAGTTCGTATTAGTATTAATATTGCCTTGTGCATTGTTGTGTGCTTGCTGGACTATTATATGGCAGTGTAGAGCATGAATTGACTGTATGCTGATTCTGTGAGCAGATACTGGAGCTGTTGGTGCAGAGAGATAAAGAGTTCCAGGAGCTCATGCAGACGGCGGTGGAGCAGGGCAAAGTGCACCAGGAGATGCAGGCACTGGAGAAGGAAGTCGAGAAGAGAGACAGCGATATCCAGCAACTCCAGAAACAACTCAAAGAGGCTGAGCATATACTGGTAACTGACATGAGCCAATGCACATTTATTTCAGTAACAGACCAGCATGCTTAATCAATTTACAAACTGTCACTTTTTGTGCAGCTTTTAATTTTAAAGAATAATTTAGGGTTTGAATTTCAATATTGTTCAAATTAACTCTTTTCTTTTTTTATGATGTGTATTTACACTGTAACAAGGACACTTTATAATAAAGTGCAACCCACTCAGTCTTTTTATACAAACTGTGTTTGACACAATATTTATGAATCACTTCTTTAAACTGGAAATAACTGTGTTTTTCATTAATCATCAGGCCACTGCTGTCTACCAAGCCAAAGAAAAACTGAAGTCTATTGAAAAGGCCAGAAAAGGTATTACGGTGGTTTTAAAATGATGACCATATTTTCTGGAAAATAAGTCACACCTGGCTAAGTGGCTATGAGTCGCACCAGGTCAAATTTGCATTGTTGAGAAGAAGAAAAAAAACAACAACACAGAAAATTTGCATCGAGTACAAGACATTTTATTATTATATTCAGAAACATTATAAACACTGTAAAGATGTATTTTAGTTTCCCTTTCGCCACAACAAATCCTATACATTTAATGGTATTCATAACTGAACAGGAATGTAAAATATAAAGCAAGCATAATTTATAGTGGCATTAATTTTTAAAAGGAATTTATTTAAAGTGACAGTGAAACTGCTGGCTTGTGGGAAATACACTATACAAATAAACTTGGGCTCACATGTGCTTGACATTAATTTCATTATATAAGCCTCTTTGGATTTTAAGTCGCAGCACGTTTCAGATGATTTAAAGTGGGACTTATATTCTGGAAAACATGGGAGTTCTCAGTAGAATTGATTCAGTCACAAGACTGAGATGCAGGTAATTGTATTTTATTTATTTGATTTAATGTATTGATATACCACAGTATCAAATAGATTCTGCTCTAGTTAAAAATCGACGTCTTCTGTGTCTCACTCTTTTTGTTTGTTTTCACTAGGGAGTATCTCTTCAGAGGAGATCATCAAATACGCTCACAGGATCAGTGCCAGTAATGCGGTGTGTGCTCCTCTCAACTGGGTTCCAGGTAAATAGACAGTTTTTTTTTTCTGTGTCCAGTTATTTTATTCATCACTTTCACTCATTTGATTTCCTAAGAAACATTTTGTGTTGTATTTGTAAGTTCTTATGATGTGCATGTATGTGTAGGTGACCCCCGCAGGCCGTACCCCACTGATCTGGAGATGCGCAGTGGAATACTGGGTAACATGAGCAACATGTCCACCAACGGAGTAAACGGGCACCTGCCTGGAGACGCATTGGCTGCTGGGAGATTACCAGGCAGGCTCACTCTTTTGTTCAGATGTTTGATCAAATTAAAAAAATTATATTTATACGTTTTAAAAAAATTATAATTAAAACAATAGAATATGAACAAGTAGAATAAGTTGAAATCAAATGAAATCAGTATTAAAATTAATTTG